AGAAAAACAACCATTGAAACGTCCAGAGAAATTTGTAACGCATCGCCGACTTGAATCACTCAAATGCAAAAAGAAAAAAAAAAAAAAAAAAAAAAAAAAATTAATAATCTTTTTTCGTTTTTCTTATCTCAACTTAATCTTGCATGTTTAATTTTTCGCAACTGGTGGAGTCCTTCTCTTCAACTTATTTCTCATGATAGCAAAAATCCCCTTCAGCGTTATTCGCAATAGTGGTTCAGATCAGTTGTAAATTAGTCACCTTGTCAGTAGCTAGAGTTTAATTTGTTGGAACATACTGTTATTTGTGGTTTATGCTGCTGAATTCACCCGAGTTATCGTCATGATGCATAATGGTTTTATAGCTATTAAATACTTTAAAAAGAAATACAAATTTGTCAATTCAGTAAATATTTCTTGTTGGTTTCAATCACGCCGCTAGCTGCTGTATACACTCTTTTCAGAAAGAAAAAAAAACCACTCTTTTCAGAAAAAGGGAAAAAAATCTAAGTGCTGCATCTATGAAAAATTAAGCGATAGTCTCGAAATTTCGTTTCATTCGAGAAGATATGTAAATGATTAGAAGTTTGGAGAAACAAAAATATTTTCTTAAAAAGTGGTGGCAACAATAGCATTACATTTTAAGAAGTGATAATTTTTTCTCATGCAATTGTCTAAGCTGATATTTTGTTTGATATAGTGTTAATTAAGCTGTATGTATGGAAGATTCTGCCAAAAATATAAGCGACGTTTCAAAGTCCAAAGAATTAAATTAGTATAGCGAGTTATGAACTCGGACTTTCGTAAACAACGGTGCGGTGTGTTTTGAGAAAACGATTGCAAATGAAGCCTTACAAATTGCAGATTACTCAAGCTTTATGTCCTAGAGACAAAGACCAATGAATGGAGTTCTGCATAAACATGCAGGACAGATGTGAATATGAGAATGCATTTTTTTTTCTACCTCGTGTTCGATGACAGAGCAACTTTCCGTATCAGCGGGAAAGTTAGCTGGTACAATGCGCGAATCTGGGGGCCAGAAAACCCTCTCTGTACCGTGGAACATGAACGATATTCGGCTAAAATAAATGTGTTTTGTGCAATTCCGGAGACCAAACTGTATGGGCCGTTCTTTTTCGTAGACACAGTGAATGGAAACACATATCTTTATATGTTACAAATCTGGCTTTTCCCACAATTACAGGAAGACTCGAATATAATTTCATCTTTCAGTTGGATGGTGCGCCTCCACATTGTAAGCTGGAAGTGTGTGAGTTCTTCAAACATGTGCTTTCTAATCGTTGGATTGGCCGCGCCGGAACAAACACAATGTGATGTTTCTTTCGTCCTTCAGGTCACCGGACATTACCCTATGTGACTTTTAGTCGCAGGGCTTTGTAAAAGACAAAGTGTATGTGCCACCACTGCCACGCAACTTGGAGGATCTACGCACACACATAGGTAATGCTCTGAACTTGGTAACACCAGACATGCTCAAACGACTGTGGTAAGGAATGTTTGGCCATGCCAATACCTCATATTCTCCATTAATATATTCCCGATGCAGCCCTCGCAGGAAGCCGTCAGGGTTGTGTTGTTCTAAATAGGTGCGGGTACCGGACGACACCCTATTTGTCATATTAAGCCGTCCGGGTGTCCGGGACCTGCATTCACATGTCACCTGTGGTAAGGAATGGATTATCGTCTGGACGTCGTGACTCGAGGAAGTCATATCGAGCAATAATAATTTTACAAAATTAATGTATTTGAGTTTTCGTTTTTTTAAAATTTGTTCTGATAAATGTTGATTTATAACTGAATTTATTCTAGTAAGTTAAAATACCGTACATCATTTTGAGTAACTGTGTATAATGCAGTTAGTTTTAAATTGACGCAGTTTAGAATCCAGGAAGAAGACATAGGCAAATTAAAATGAAGAGTCAAAAGAATTATTGTCAAATTACAATTAGTAATTTTCTTTCATATCTTATATCTTCCACATGAAAGAAGCCAAGTTAAAAGGAATATTTCTAAATTAAAATTAGTAATTTTATTTCATATGGACGTAGCCATATTAAAATAAGGAGTTAAAAAAACCATTGCTAAATTAAAGTTAGAAATTTTCTTTCATATTTTACATCTTACACACACGCATACCAACGTATGCAAGCATCAACGTATGCAAGCATGTATAATAACTTAGGCTGAAGACGTTTACGAAATGCATATTTTTAACAATAGTATTTACTCTTAAATGAAGATTTACGTTGCATCATAGGGATGTGTGATAGAAAAGTCGTAATCTGAATTAATTTTTGTTTCACAATTTAAATAAATTAGATTTAGCTGTTTACAATGCCCATTTTTTTCGCAAAATCTGTCTACAGAAGTTTTAAAAAGATGGTAAATTACTCATGTAGGATGAAAAAATAATAATCTGCTTTTTTTTTTTTTTTTTCCTATTTCACGCGTTAATGACTTGATGAATTCTGGTGGCATAGTAAAACATAAATTTTGTGGTTAACCTCAATGAAGGAATCATTTTTTTCAAAAAATAAAAACGAAGTTATAGTAATTGCAGCGGTGATCACTGACTTCAGTGCTATTATTCCTTTGAGACTGCAATTACGCCACTTTGGCTCGAAAATTCTTGATTATTGTAGCGTGAAGAAGAAACTTTTCAAAAGTCGAAAAAAAGTGGAGAGAGACTAACTAGACTTAAGAGCGCATCTTTTCCGAAATAAACAAATGCAAGCATTTTATTTCGGGGAAATGTTTAATAGTGCGCTTTTACAGTACTGCCTTCAATGAGGAACATGAAAAATCATAGGCAGTAAAAAAGTTAATTAAATTTCTCACGAAGGCCAATACCTAAATGGACACATAACTTCCAGTCGTTTTTTTCATGATGTGCCTTTAATTTATAAAGACAGCAAAGATTTCCTTCCCCCCTCCCTTCTTTCTGTAATCTGTCAGAAGACGAAAATTATGCGAGGTGTGACTAAAAATATACTGTTTTTTTTTTTTTGGTATTAAGGAATTGATTATTATTTTTATCTTATACTTCAAAAGCTTCATTTGTAACTGTAATTAATATTTTTTCCTCTATGAAAATTTATGTTTGTAATGGGTAAAGTATTTTGTTTCCAATACTGTAAGCCCGTAAATCTTATGTTTACTTTTTTTACTGGTGGTTTTTTAAAATTACATTGGGTTGGTTTCTGTAATTTTATACGGAAGTGCTCATTTGCCGTACATCGTAATCAACAGTGAATTAAAAAAACACACACACACACATTCGAAGTAATGTTTACATTTCCGCTGTATAACTTTCATAACGTAGTTTATGAAAAATTCTTAACTACTTAGAATTTGAATGTATCAAAATGTGTCATAGCTGTCTTTCACTGCATACACAACCAAATTCTATAGAATGTCATTCTATTTTGTAATATATTTAGCGCAATATCATTTCACTTTTCGATAAATGGTTAACTGCAAGGGTTTTTGTGATTTTCTTACTGTTTAAGGTAAACAACGCCATTAGGTTTCCTTGGAAAATTCTCTGAGAGGTATCCCTCTCAAGGCAAATAATCATCGGGTGCTTCGTTATAATTACTTAAATACCAACCCCTTTTTTTTTGCGCTATATAACTTTTCTATTAACCAAAGCATTAGCGAAATGCGATTTCGATAAAGAAGAGACTATGTATATTATTTCTTAAAAGATGCAGTGCCTTATGTTTAGTGCTAAGTTGAATTTTGCCTAATTTTAGAGTTGCGACAATTGTGTCTACAATGTTTTTCATACATATTTAAGCATCTGACTTTAAAAGTATTATATTATTAAGTTGCTGAGGAAGCTCTAGCCATCTTAGGAATAAACCATGTCCCCCCATTCTTTCAAACTAAGTTAAATGTTAATCATTAAAAAAAGTTAAATACCATATGCATGGAAAATACTTTGCCAACATTCAGGCAAACTTACTTACCTGAAAATTACCTGGCGTCGAAGCAAATGAATTTATGAATCACTCTTCAGAGGTTTACCGACAGTTAGTACAAGATCTGGTCTGTATGAAGCGAACAAAGCTAAATTCTCAACCCAGTTTCATTTTTAGCGCAGAGTTCTTGCTGCATGCTCTTGCTTTATTATGCTGGTATCGGATATTATTTTACTTGGTAAACCAAGCCGGTTAAGGTGCTTATGAGTGAGCTTTTGTAGCTGATGGCATTACAGGTTGGCAATGATTTCAATCTTTGGAAAAGAGCAGCTGTTAAAGAATCAGACAGTTTGAGCATCATGTTCTGAAACCCTATCCTTGCTTCGGCTCAAGATTAGGCAATTCGTTTTTCTTTATCCAAGTTCACACGGATTTTTATATTGCCTTAGAGGCATCATTTTTCGTCGCCATGTGGGGATGTCATCGAAGTAGTTATTAATGCTGTGTTAAAATATAAGAAGAGCAGCTGTTTTTGCTTGCTGGTTGACGACGAACTCATCATCCTATTGCTGAAGTTTGTTCATTAAGGGTTAATACATATAGATGATCTATCGTATTTCTATTATGTAATACATTTGACGTCTCTACATTCTCGTGCAGAGTTATACGTGATTTTCTGAACAGCCAAATATCGTTCTAAATGGGGATTGAACTTCAAGGCCGATATTAACTGCAAGTTAAGGCGAATCCAAGCTCGGGAATATCGAGCTTGTTGGATTTGAAGTCTTGCATGAGAGACATGTACTCGACGATTTTACTTAGAGGCACATCAGCTTTTGGACTTAAAGGATGCCTTTCAAGCTGTGCAAACGTTTGTACTCCCTTACACTTTCCTTTTTTTATACCTTTACAGAAGAAATTTCATGAATGTTCCGATATAGAGACTTCTGGCTAAGTTCCGAAACTGCTAGAATTTCCTCATCAACTTAAAATATTGTGTAGGTGTAATTAAATATAGAAAGTGAATTAATATGTATTTTTTTTTTCTTTTTTGTGCAGGTGTGGCATGAAAAACAGTTGCAGTCTTTCTGCTTCGCCAGATTTGTTTGGTGATCCATGCCCTGGAACGCCGAAGTACTTGGAAGCTCATTATCAGTGTGTTCCAGGTATGAAATTTAAATTACAAATGATTTTTAATATATGTTTCTTTCTAATAACTCTTTATGTCGTCTGGGCTAGACAAATATTTTTTATATATGTAACACCCAATACATCACTGTGATAGTTTTAATTGGAGATTTTTAAGTGTAGTGCAATAAGAGATAATTTCGAAATATTATTATTATTTCAAGAAGGCATGGCAGTGAAACAAAGAGTTTGTTTAATGCACTCCCCTTTTTAATCAAGGTAATGTAATATAATTCTCCTTATATAGCCTTAACTTATTTTTGGAATTTATAATTGGAAATTAACAGTGCTTCTCCTTCTGTTGCATTTTTCAGAATTGCTGTATTGCATTTGCAAACGATAATTGGCTAGGGCTTCTTATGTACCACATAAATAAGAATAAAAAATATGTATTTTATTATAAGAGCATTTTTTGATTAAAATTCGTTCCATTTTGTATTCATTTAAAACTTTTATATATAAATAGTAACACCAAGATATTGAGAAATCCTGAGCTGCATGCTTTAAATTTTCTTCAAATTTAAAATCAAATTATGTGAAATTCGTAAAAATGATCGGATTCTACAATGCGATTGTTCATTGTTTAAATTCTTTCGCTTGAAACAATTGAAATATTTTTCATTAATTTTAAATAATTTTAATTCAGTAATTGTAGGTAATTTTCATTAATCAGGAAATCAAATTATTACCATTGAAAAATTCAAGATGAAATAATAAAGTAAATTTCTTTGAATTGATGTGTTTTCACTGTATTGTATATATTTCACTGTATTATGTATATATAATAATTTATTTCCTAAACAATATTGATTAATTGATTATTATTAACTTACTTTGCAGCAATTGCGCAAGTAGTAGTAACTTGTTTTCGCACTAAATAAATTTAAGATCATACAACATTATATATAACTTAGCGTTTTTATTTTATTTTAATTAATTTTTTAAATTCTATTCTTAAAGATATGAATTTTTTTTAAAAATAATTTTAGGTCGTTTTCATTAATCAGGAAATCAAATCGTTTTCAAGCATTTAAATTCATTTGCCTGAAAACAAAATCGTTGAAAGTTTGTCAAGTATAGAAGAATTAAACAATTATCATTGGGCATTTACACTTAGAATATTAAAATTATTTTAATTCTAGCTTAGTTCGGTGTATTATGTTTTCTTTAACTAAATGTGAATGCTATATTTAAATATTAGTAGTTACTGAAACTAGAACCTTTCATAAGGAATTAAGTGCTTAAATCTAAAGTATTTTAAAATTAGTTTATTGTATCTTGATAAGTTTGGGGCAAAATGCATGAATTAGTTCAGCAATTTAGAATGCTATTGTTTTATATGTGAAGTGATCAAGTATTTATATACCAAACAGTAGAATTATTCTGATTAATATCTAAATTAATTAGGAATAGGAATTTCTTGAAATGTAATCTCTTGCATAACTGTCAAACATTTAAATTGATATTTAAATGCGGGAGGTGTTGTGTATTTTGTGAAATAAAGTTTTGTATTATAACATATGTTTCTAATCTTTGGATTATCAGTTGTGCGCTTTTCGCTGATTGCTTATTTTACAATTTATCTGTCCGGCGAAATGCAATTTTATACGAGTTGCATTTGAATACGTAAGATTGAATCCTTAAATCGGGAGGTTAATCATGCAAGTTTGTGTTTTCTTCCAGGAGAGAGAAATTTTCATTGCCATATCAACAAAATAAAAAATATCAATAAATGCGATAATTAGATAATTTAATGGAAAGGAATAAAGTATTAAAGTAAATAACTAATCAAAATAAATTTTTGGCATTGTTATAGATTGTAAGTAAAGAAAATAGCGTTCATTATTACAGCACATAACAGTGCTGTTTAGCCCATTGTAACACGCAGAAATTCAGCATGTAGAATCTTTCGTACAATGTGCGTGTGTTAAATTTTGAGTAAATAAAAAACATGTTTTTTTCTAGGTATAACAAACAAACAAACAAACAACAAGAAAAGAATGAAAAAAATGGTAAAAATTAAATGGAATGGGGGAAGAAAGTGTGAAAGCTTTCCGATTATATATTACGCCCACAACACGGGCCTTTTTTTTTTTATTTACAAATACATACACGTTTCGAGATCATTTGGGCTAACGCAACATTTTGCTACAAATATTTAAAAACAGCATATCTTTAGAATTTCCGATAGACAATCTCTTGTGCTGGAGGTAAAAATGTTTTATTCCCTCCAGTGTTGCCACTGCTGGTTTTGAAATTGTCCAGTTTTTTAATCAAAAATTTGTTAAAGTTTTACAAAGTATGAAAACAAATAAACAAATTCTAGATTCCAAATTCGGGCTTCTAGGTGCCCACATTTAGGTGGAGGATTGTGTAATTCAAAATTTAATGACTCTAGGTACCTTTTTTTTTTTTTTTTTTTTTTTTTTTTTTTTTTTTACAGTGCGAAAAAAATACATACATTAATGTAGATTCTTCTTTATTTAATTTAATTAAATATAATATAGGGCGATAATATTTGCTGATAACAGTTTGAAAAGTGATTCGGGCATTTAAAGTAATTCGAAGCAAAATGCCGTTTTGAGATTATGTGCCTTTCTGGGCTATCGCCCATATTTATATTACGCCCAAAGGAGCGTTTTTTTAACGTTTTGTGTGTTACCTTTACGTACTAAATATCATGTTCTTGGCGTCGATTCAACAACAATATCACGAAATATTTAAAAACAGCATACCTTTAGAACACCCGATAGACAGTCTTGCGCACTGGAGATAAAAATATTTTATTCCCCTTAGTGTTGCCACTGCTCGCTTTGAAATTGTTGAGTTTTTTAATGAAAAATAATAATAAATTTAATAAAAACGTGAACTAGATAATAAAACAAATTCTAAATTCAAAATCCGGGTATCCAGGTGCCCATGTTCGGGTGGAGAATTGCGTTATTCAAAATTTGATGGCTCGTCGTACCGTCTTTTTTTTTAGAGAAACATGCACATTCTTGCAGATTCTTCATTATTTATTTTCTTTAACTATAATACAGGAGGATAATATTTGGTGTTTTTATAACTGTTCGTTATTTAGCCTTTGAATTCATAATAACAGATATCCGAGTGAGTAGACGGGAGAGGGAAGAAAGTAATTATAACTTTATTCTTGATCCGATTATATTTTAGGACATAATTGAACATAAGGAAGACATAATTGAGGGAATATTGCTGCTAATATTTTCTGTTTCTCTGAGATTATTAGAAAAATAGCTCAATTAAAAAACTTTGTAGATGTGTTATGTAGCAATATAACATTACTTTTCACATCAGTTTTTGATATTGCACATTTTTTATTGAGACAAACTAAAGCTAAATAACACATGGCCGTTATTCATGAAGTTTGAATGCTGTGTTTCATTTTTTTTAGAAAAGTCATCAGCTACGCCATCGACCAGTACGACGACGAGCACCAGTTCAAGCACAAGCACAAGTCGACCGTCAATCATCATTCCTGTGACGCGGAACACTCGACCGCATCCCGTTGTACCGCCGTCCGTGCCGCGATCCTCACCGCCGCCCACCACCCCAGCAGCGGTCACTCTGCGGGACGCCACTTCGGAGGCGGCGACAGTCGCTGCTGCCACCACCACAGTCACGACCCTGTTGGTAGACGTGACGACGACCCTTGCCGACAGTCTCCTTTTGATGCTCAGCGGCACGCCCGAAACTTCGACATCAGGTGAGAGACGCTAGCATCAACACACCATCCTCATGTAATCTATCCTTAATGAACTCCCGACATATTCCAAGATGGTAAAACGAAGTTTCCATTAATTTGCTGTCACGCTTAATTTCGGATCGCGTTGGGTGGGAGAATTCTAATCCATTAGAGAAAGTACTGCGTGTTTTCGAGCCTCTGTGTCCGCACTCTGTGTGGGACACAAGCAATTGTTAGTCGATGGTGTTATATTATCCTCATCAATCAAAGCTAAATGAGCTGTAAAATGTGCTGTCATGGTAGCCCTTCAAGTTCTGAAACCCTTTTGCTAACTATCTTTCAATCGAAGTGTGCTATTATCAAACGCGTTTGCTAAAAATAAAAAATATTTTGGATAAAACGCGAAGACTGAAATTCACGGTTGTAATGGATGCCAACTATTATATTAGAATTTTGCTATATATCTATCTATTCTGTGATCATGTTTATGAAATATAGAAGGTATTTTATTACGTAATGTCGTAAGTGGTTGAATTAATGGAGAAGCACGTGCACAGCAGAACCTTTCACAGATGTATTTTTCTAATTCTAATTTAAAAGCATTTGGTTTTTAAAAGTGAGCTAACGCATTTATTTGACAGTGTCAGCATATCTTTCACACGTAAGATAAAATTCTATCTTTAATTTTGCAATAGCTTCCAAAGAATTCTTTTTAATTTGCTTATTTCTCCTTTTTATCCTAAAATTATAAGATACTTATAACAGAGCTTACTGAAGTACTAGTTACAATTACTGAAGCTTACTAAAGTTCAAAGTAACAATATATAATTTTTTTTATTTCCAGTCATACGATTTTTTATGTAATGATATCTGCGCATCTATAACGGTCAAAATTTTTTATCCAATAATAATTGAATTGATACTAAACCACAAGCAGCAATAAAGTGCTACTATATTCCTTTGCTGAAAATTATAATAAATTTGCTACTATTAGTCTAATATCGATATCCTAAACTTCGTTCTTCTCATACTTGGCTTTGGCTCATGAACATGTTGTCTGTAGCTCCTCTTATTCTGCAAATTGCAGTGCTACGATATATGAAAAACGGAAAAGTCCCGAAACGGTCTACATGAAATCGCTCAGCATCGGGTGCACACATCTTTGTGTTTATATTACTCGCCTGTGTTGATTACTTAACGAAAATTTACCTAAATAAAGATGATTTATCAGACATTCAGATTCATCCTTTCTTTCCTCCGTCACTGCATTAAATTTCTAATAATTGAATAAATATAAAATACCCAGTTCCAAAAATTCTTTAGTTTTACGTAGTAGTATCTATTGCTGAAAACAGCAATAAATACACTGCGCCATCTGTTGAGAGATATATAAAGGAGAAGTAATTTGCAAAATATAAAGATGGTTTTGAAAACTGAGTAGTAGTAAAGATTGCAATATTAACTGGAAATGACTATTAGGCCAAAATTGAGTTTAACATCCCCCATCCTAAATAGTGTTTGGAAAAAATTTCACAATTTTAACTTAAAGATATCATTTAGAAATTATTAGAGAGACCTAAATTGTTTATAAAGTTTCAAACTGTAATTTTAATATATTTGGAGCGACTTTATTTGTTTGAAGTTGATAGATTTGTGCTAAGGCATATGATCTTCTGCGGTGCTGAGTTATGTAACACAAAGTGCTGATTTTTTCCACTAAACCTCGTGCTACTGAATTGTTTCCCTCATGCTTTTAGTTTGTCTACCTCAGTTTTAAGTAGATCTTTCTAGAAAATGATTACTTTTAAGATTAGTTCGTGTAACTTTTTTCTTAGTTTTTTCTTTAAAAAAAAATTTTTTTTTCACAAGCGTCACTAGTTGAGAATTGTGTTTACATAAAAATTGAAATCATTTTCTTACCATGAAGTTCTCCCAGGGCGCTCTTTAAGTTCAGTTAGGAGATCTACTTTCATGCTTTTCTGGGAAATTTCTAAATAAAGTGTGAAGACATGTGCCGTCGTAAATTTCATTACCATCGTATAATTGACTAAGTTCCACAATCATCAAACAGTCCAGTTCCTCTTTGTTAACTCTACCCAGCAAAACTGCCTCATTAAGATAAATATCGTCAAAGGTTATATTCGCTTTGCCACGGACATCGACTAAATTAAACTCGCGGAAATGGTTGGGCATAAAACTTCGAATGAACCTCAAGTACCTAGGGCCAAAACAGACTGATACCTCAGGGCGTTGGACCTTATACGATGAAATCGTAACTACCAATTACGATTACGATGGGGACCACATCGATCGTAAAATCAAGTCGCGACGTCCGTTGTTTATCCGAGGTGAGTGGATGGCTTTTACGAACACCCGCTGCGAAAAATGTTGCAGGTTCGAGCTTGTAAATGCAATGAGTTTTAGCTTTCACGTCCCCGTTTGTAAATTAAAAAAAGGAATACCCTTTCTTGTCTTTTTGATCGTTTTATAACAGCATGAAGTTTCGAAAGTATGCAGTAATGCAGACCGATCATTTATTTTTCTCATTTACGTCAGCTATTAAATAGGGAAGGCAATTTTCTTTTCGGTGGTTCTTTGTTTTAATAGCGTCTGTATACTTAGTGATGCCTTGAAGACTTGACTAGAATACTGATTGGGACGAACTATTAGAGTAACTGAATGAAATGTTTAAGAAAACTATAAAAGCCAAAGGTTGATCAGACTCTGACGAATGTTGAAATAGATAAGAATAAAGGATTGTAATGTTCATTATGTATATTAGCAATATTTAATCTTCATAATTCTTTACCTTAACGGGCTAAATTGCTATTCTTTCTTTTGATTTCCTATCATTTTGTAAATGGGTTTAAATACCAAGAATCTGGAAGTACGAGAATCTGGAATAACGTATAAAAAGCGAAATGAAGTCATTGCTTAATTAAGCTCATAGCCTATCTGTTACCATCCAGATGTTGTTCGGATGTTGATATGAGCAAGATTTCCTCTATATTGCTTGTATCTGTATAGAAGGTTGTTGAGTTCATTAGGATTTTTTTGAAGCAAAAGTACATGAAAAATGAACAACGCCTTCGCCGGAACTCGAACCTAGATTTCTCGAATACCCGCCAAGTGTGCTACCATTCCACCACGAAGGCCTGCTGGAAAGATGGAGAAAATTGTAAGGTTTTTCTCAAAATTATGTCTTGTACTTTACGGTCTTTAATATGTATTCATATTTGCACTGAAGAAAGCAGCCTTATGACTACTTGCCGCAACAGTTTTTGATCATCTTTGCACTAGCCAAAGCACTCTTTCACCATACTGAGCATGGTACAACAATGTTACAGTGTGGTAATTTGCAAATTATGTCTATGTTTCTAAAGCGTATTCATGAGATTTAATATCACTACACTGATAACAGTGCTTAATATAAAATCTATTGTCAGCTAACACAGATGATAAAAATGCGATTGAAGCTTCCTACAGAATAAGTTTCCATACCTCTAAACGTGGTAAAAACCAGAAAATTGTTGAAACTTTGTTGCTGCTGTCTGCATGTTTGGAGAAAAACGCATTTGAAAAATCAGCAGCATTCTTTCCTCAATGAATGTAATTTTTTGGATACTCGAGGACACTTCTGATGACTTTTGAACCGATGTCCTTAAGAACAGGTTTTTTTTTTTTTTTTTTTTTTTTGTGTGTGTGTGTGTGTGTGTGTGTGTGTACGCACTGAAGAGAGCACCTATGTATTGAACCTTTCAAGATCTACATAGCTATACAATTATTCACATTAAAATAATTATGAGTTTAATATTTTATTATTTTATTGTGGTGCAAACGTGCATTTCAGGAATGCTTAAGGCTTTAGTATAGGCATTAGATCTCATCAATAATCAATAAATGCATCAATTTCACTCTTTTTTTTAACCGTTTTAAGTATATGTATTATCGCTGTATTTCTTTGAAGTAAATGATGTTACAGTTTTCGTTTCGTTATATACATATTTTTAATCTTACTCATAGCTGCAGTCTTCTGACTTTAAACAATACAGTAGAAAGATATATTGCGAGAATTCTGCAAGGGGGTGAGGGAGGGGTCATAGCTCTGAAAGGCGGATTAACGATACTGTGTGTTCTATGCTAAGTCTTATTAAAGGGTATGCGAGAGAGAAAAGTTGGGAACCCCTGTACTAGATGGTTAGCCTTTGCTTGCAATAAGCATGAAGGAGCTATGATTTGGTCTTGTCGGTGGTTCATGGATCTTTCTTTTTCGAACCGAAGCGCATCTCATTACAGACATCCGTGCTTGGATACTCATTACGGACTGCACGGAACCGTGCTTTTCAGAAAAGCTTTGGATTGAGTAAATTTTAGCCATTCTGATTTATTCTTTGTGAAGTTTGGTAAAATATATTCCCTTTTATTATTAGAAATGAGTCTGAAACCTTTGCTGTGGTACTATGATAGTTAATTCTTTTGGGTATTTCTGTTTTACCTATAAATATTTCTTATAATTTTTTTTTAAAGTAATGAAAATAAGCAAGGGATCAGGCATCATGTAAGGCCTGCATATCAGGCATTAACGGTAACACAATGCAGACTCAATGAGAGTTCTGTTTATTTGCATTATTGTTATATTTTTGTTAAAACATGTACAAATTTTCATTAATTCTCTTTTCTAGAATTATATCACTTCTGAAACATTTGAGAGAACCATAACTATCATTCGAAGCCCTAGCTGTATTTCTTTATGATATTGATAAAAGGAATTAGAATAAAAGTGCATTGACTAATACCAAAGGCAAATTTTGCCCTGTAAACCATGAGCAATAAAAATATGACCATTTTACAATTAAATTAAATATAAATTTCCCTTGAAATTCAGAAATGAAAGGAGCGTATATCAGAAATGAATGCAGCTTTTATCAGAACCAACTAAAGCGTGGAGACTGACAAGAAAATTAAATAAATTAAAATGTAGGAAAACTATTGATAATCTATAAGTGGTTTAGTCGAAATGT